CCCCCCCCCCCCCCCGGCTCCAGGATGCGAGGCACCGCCCGAGGGCCGGATCGTTGGGGGTGACCAGAGAGTGGTGCCGGGCACAATATCCATTGTGGGTTATGTCACCTCGTCCCCGTCAACCCCCCAATCATTTTAGGGCCCCCAGTGAGACCGGCCAGTTTCTCGCGGCGACATCAGGCCTCCTCCCGAAATACGCACGTCTGCCCTTCTTTCGCAAGCGCCCTGAGACAGTGTCTCCCAAAGAAGAGACAAACACCTGCAAGTGACACGCTCTCCTCCCGCTACCTCCTCAGATCGATCCAACACCTCCTCGCCAAGACTTCCCCCCACTCCTCCTCCTTCCTTTTTCCAGCCACGACGATTGAGGGCGCGACTCGACAGACCGGCCCCGCGCTATTACCCTTGGGCCGCACTAAGTACGCCATTCTTGATTGCTTTCGCTCGCTGCCGCGGCGGTCCGAACACCCACCACCGACATCGCCCACATCCTCGGCCCAGCACGTGCAAGGCCCTTGTGGTGGACTTTCCCCTGACCTGCAGCCACGCCGACGCTCCCTTGCCCGGCACCCGGTCACGGCCTCCGGCCTGCCGCCCAAAGTATGACCATCGCCGATCGCGTGCCTCCGCTCGAGCGGCGGCGCAAGTATCCGTGCATTTTCCCGGGCTGCGCCAAGCGCTTCAGCCGCAGCGAGCATCTCATTCGCCATGTGCGGACGCATACCGGGGAACGGCCTTTCCCATGCTTGGTCCCCGGGTGCGGGAGGTACTTTTCCCGGAACGACAACCTGCAGCAGCACATGTACACTCGCCACCGGGATGTGGTGATGGCGGCCACCGATGGCTTTGGACACCTGGCCGGTCGCGTGGATGCCGCCGGGCCCGGGGGTTTCTTCCCTCTGGCCGATGGCGGGGAGATGGGCATGCTCGGGGGCTTCAATGCCGGAGCCCCGGGCGCTGGGGTCGGCATGGCCGCCCCGCCGGGAGGCCTGGGAGCCCTGTTTCTCGGAGGCGCGGATCCCCACGCGAATCCCCACGCCGCCGGCCCGTCGCCGTACTATGGCCAGCATCGGCCGACATCGCCCCTCAGTCCGGGAGACCGGCGCCTGGATGGATCGCACTCGGGTCCGGTCAGTCCGGTTTCCCCGGGTGGCGGTGGCCCGGTCGGCGCGGCGGCACTTGGCGGTGTGGCGGCCGCCGCTCGACGGGCCACGGCCGCCCTGCTGGAGGCCGCTGCCCTTTCGGCCCGTCAAGAGTCCCTTGCCCATGGGGGAATGTTGCTGCGCGGCTCGGGGGGGCCCGCCGGGCCGGCGGGGGATATGGGCCTCCTGACCGGGGACCTGCCCGTTCCCCCGGAGGGCGGTCCCCCTCCGGCCATTCAGGATAGCGTGGCACTGGAGCAGCTCAGCCAATTGGCGGTCCTTGTGCAGCGCGACCCGGCCCTGTGGGGCGAGATCCACCGATCCTACCCTCAATTGGGCAGCGCCCTGTACTGGCATATCAATGCCAATATGCCGGGACTCGGGGCGGCTGTGGCCGCGGCCGCCAGCGCGGAGATGGCCCCCGGCGCTGGGGTCCCGCGCCCCGGGACGGCACCCCACCCGGGCGCTCATCTGTCGATTACGCATATTCCGCGCTTTGCCAAGCCCACCGAGGGGGAGCCTCTGTCGCCAAGTGAGGCGATGGCCGTGTCGCCGGTTTCCCCGTCCGGCGTATCGATTTCGGCACAGTCCTTCGGCATCCATACTCGCCCGGGCCATGGCGGAGCCGTTGGAAGCTCGGCTGTCGAGCCGGGCGCCGGTCTGCGCATCAACACGGCCTGCAGCGCCCCTCTGACGGGGCCCCATCGCGGTGCGTCTCGCGGGCAAGGATCGCCCCGTGTGCTTTGGTGCCTCTTATGAGTGTCTGTGAGAGTGAGAGCAAGGCCCGAGAGGAGGGGGAGAGAGAGAGAGAGAGGCCCCGATGGGAAGGGCAAAGGGCCGGGGAGGAGCCGGCGGAAGGGGGCGAGGGCGGTGTCTGGTGTATGTATTTGGCTGGAACGTGTGGAGCACAGGGTTCCGGTGCATTTCGGCTAGGATGTGTTCAAGGTGGATATCTAACCGAGCGGCATGTGGTCGCTGTTCGGCATGCGTGCCACTTGATGTCGGCGCCTATCACCTTTCCCCCATCACAGAGAGAGACTCCATGTCCATGACGCCGCCGGCCAGTTCGGAACTTCGATCCCTCGAGTGCGTTCCGATGGCTTGACCCTGCTATTCTGCGCGCCAGTGCCACAGGGGGGGGGGGGGCATACGAGAGACATGTTGCCGCCCCCGGCGAGGCATCTTTCGTTCGGCATTGCTCTGACCATTGGTTCGTCCATTTCGGGCATTGACGGCCCACTTTTGGCAGATCCGGCAATGAGTCGCGAGTGGAGGACAGCGTTCGCTGCGAGACAGGCGCCTCGAACTTCCGGGTGCCAATGTCACAAGCCCACTATCCTGGGGGGGGCCATGCCTCAGCCTATCAGCAGCAGCAGCAGCAGCAGCAGCAGCAGCAGCCCGGCACGCGATACTACCCGGGCTATTCGGCCACCGGGAGTGGGGTCGACTTTGTTTCGCCGGCACCTCCAGCCTCGGCAAAGAGCCATGCGCAGGAGGCCGGCCCCGAGCACACCCCCCTGGTGTATCCGGCGGAGGGGATGACAGACGCGCATGAGCCCAAGCACGCCAGCGAGGCCGATCGCCGTCGTGCGTCATTCCGAGATCTCCTCACGCCAAGCTCTCCCTTCTCGCCGGAGCACATGGCCGACCTGGGGAGGCTGTCGGCGGGGCATCCTTCCAGCGCAATGGGGGCCGGTGGGCCTTCGACGGGGATGTCGCCGGACCGGTGGTACCCCATGTGCACGATCAACCCGGCGGGTCCGGTGCCGGTGGCGGTCTCCCTGCACGAGGGGGCCCATGGGCATCTAGCAGGCCCAGCAGGGACCTCGGCCCCGGGACCAGGTGTGCACTATCCACCCCGGCAGCAGGAGCAGCAGCAGCAGCAGCAAGTGCACTATCAGCACGCTGCGAATGGGCACATGCCCCATTGGCTGGACGCCTCGGCCTCGAGGGAACCGTCGCAACAGCACGCTCCATCCCAACATCAGCCGCAGCAGCAACAGCAACAGCAGCAGCAGCAACATCATCAACACCACCACCAGCACCAACACCACCACCACCACCACCAACAGCAGCAGCACCACCATGCCGAGGCGGCCAACAAGGAATTGAGCCCGCTGCTTCATGCGCGCTCGGGGTCTTTCGAATTTGAACAGGCGCCGGCCGGCGACGGTGGGCAGTTCCACCTGGAGGCCGGGCACCGGCTGACGGTGTCGACCCTGGGAGGAGCCCCGGAGACCGTGGCAGACACCCCGGCCGAGGAGGGGCCGGAGATGGGGGGCGCCCAGCTGCACCCGATTCCAAAGGCCTCCATCAGCGCGAATGGGGCACTGCCGGCCTCGCCTACCGGGAGGGACTCGATGGGCAGCTGCCCGTCCGAACCGCAGCAACGGTATGCTGCTTCGCGGCACCACTTTTCGCAGCCATGCTCGATGTATCCCCCGGATCATGGGGGCCATTATGACCAGCAGGAGCACATGCGGCAGCCTCTCCAGCACTTCCTGTCGGGGGAGCAGCAGCAGCAGCAGCAGCAGCGGCAGCAGCAGCAGGATCGGGACCCGAAACAGCCGCCAACCGGTGACTCGGCTCCCTTCCCCAAGATGATGGAGCCCGGGGCCCCGTCAGCAGTGGTAGCTCCGGGGGATGGAGGGGACACCAGCAGCTCGGCATGTGCCACCCAGGCTGGGACCTATGCCCATGGACCGGACGTATCTATGCCCTCAGCGAACTCCCAGAACCAGCAGCGCGTATACCAGCAGCCGGTCTACCAGCATCAGCACCAGCCGCAGCACCACGAGCCAGAGATCCGCCTCTGAGTCTAAGAGAAGGGCGGGGCAAGGGGGCGACAGAGGGAGAGAGAGAGAGAGAGAGAGAGAGAGCGAACGAGCGAGAACGAGAGGAGGCCGAGGCGCTCTCTCACTTTTTGATGTCAATTTTGCAGGGGGCAGACGCGCCTGCGGCTCTCCCGCACGCAGCCCGACGCGCACACATACACACACACAAACACACACAAAGGCACATACACACATGTGCAAATGCCCAACATGTGTCCCTGGCCCGGCCCGGACCTAGAACAATAGAAAATAGAACTTGAACTTTAACACACATCCGCACACTGTTGAAGGTGTCTGCAGGGCACCAATACTCGCCGGCAGGGGGAGGGGAGGCCGGGGAGGCCGGGGGAGGGGGGGGGGGGGCACAGGACGCTCACGAAGGTCCAAGACTCCCATGAGGTGGGAAGTGCGTGAAGTTACGGAGCGGGGGGCGGCGGTAGCAAGGCAGCGAAGAGGGGGGGGGGGCGGAGGGCCTCGGTAGGATGGTCGGCGGTGTTGTCTCCACACAAGACCGCGGGAGGGCAGGGGTAGGAGAAAACCGTCGCCGTCGGGCCCCCCTCCCCCACAACCTAGGCCCGGGCGAGGAAGGTGAAAAACAGCCGGAGGAGCCTACCAAGACCGGACCCCCCTTCCCGAGGCAGGCGGCCCTGGGCCGAGAGACGGGCAAGTTTACGGCTCTTAATTATATTCCGGTGATTGCGAAGCGGGTGACTTGCTGCCGGCTGGATTCCCTCGTCCGGAAGGGGCCTTTCCTAAGTCGTTATTCGACACGTGCCCGCTCTGGGGGCGTGTTCTGTTCGAGGCATTCGGGGTAATGGTGTTCCATTTTAAATCTCTTATTGAAATGGGAATATTCTGGGAAATTCAGCCGACCGATATGGGGGATGTCATGACTCATTGGGCAAGGCGGCGCCCGAGCGCCCCGGCGCAGTACAAGGAGGATTAATCTGTGCGTTTGGAGGTGGAGCACCGAGCCTCCCTCCATCTGGCAGGCCGCCGAAATAGAAGGATCTCGGGGGGCGGACAAAAGTTGAGGAGGTCCGAGAGCAGAAGAGAGACAGAGAGAGAGAGAGAGGGAGAGAGTCAGAGGGGATGAGATTGGGAACCACGGCGGGCGGAGGCGGCCCCCTCGTCGGCTGGGGGAAAGTCGAGTGTCCGCGGGAGAAAATGGCGGTGGAACTTCGGGAGCCTGCCCCCGGAGCCAGCACGCCAACTCCCCTCGGCTTGTCCGCCTGTTGCCCTTTCCTCCCCCTGACCCCCCTGGGGTTTGAGCCGGGCGAGTATGAGCCAGGGGGCCGGCGGATTCACAACGGAGCATCGGCCGGCCGAGGAATGTAGGGGTAAATAGAGGGCTGAATGCTCGCCTGCAGGCACCGGCCGACCATGTTTCCCCCTTGCCTGGTAGAGAGCCCAAAAGGTGTGTCGGGGACATTATCTTGCACCTCACTCGGCGCCTGGACCGGGTCCGGGAACTCCCCCCCCCCCCTGTGTGGTGCGCCTGGGCGCGGCGCCGAGAGCCAGGGCGGGTGGCCCCTGCTGACTGGAAATCCGGTCCCTGTTGCTGGCCAGGCCAGCCTGTCACGATCGGGTGGAGAATCCCCTGGGAGGGGGGGGGGACCGGCGGCCCGGGCTCACCGAGAGCGCTGCGATCTCCCGAGAGCGTGTCCGGGTATGCTGGTTAAGAGGCAGCGAGACACGGAGCGAGGGCATGTTGGGAAGGAGGGGCGGTGTCTGCACGCGCATGTATGCATGGGTGGTCAGCAACAGCGGGCCAGCGAAGGGTCCCATCGGCCGGGAAGGGGGAGACGGGGAAAGGAAACACGTATGCGGGCGGAGCCTGGCTGTGGCTTGTCTGGCCCGAGGCAGGCCCTCCTGGGGGGGGGGGGGGGGGGGGGGGGGGGGGGGG